AGCTTAACTTTATTTGTCCTCAGTAGCCTGTATTTTATTTTATATCACTTTTTAAATGACATGTGGTATGTGGTGTTATCTTTAGGATACTAAACTTTTGAGTTTTAGAAATGATAAAAAGGAACTTAGTAGTAAGTTACTACAAAGGATGAAACTTAAAGTTAAGACATTTAGTAGAAAATAGCAAGGAAATGATTTTACTATTTATAGTGGGAGAATTTTTAAAAAATTAAAGATATTTATAATAATTCTTTTTAAAGAATTTAGATTCTATGAATTTTTTTTTCTAAAAACTAATATTAAATTTTAAGTTAAGGAAAGAAAATAAGCATTTTTACTTTAGAAAAGGGATAGTGAAATTCAAAATTATTAAAGGCCTATCCAGATATAGTAATCTTCACATGGGTAAAAAAAAGAGTAAGGATTAAAAAGATCCTGAAAGAAAAAGAGAAAGAAAAGAAAAAGAGAAAGAAAAAAAAAAGAAAAAAAAAGTAAAGTATGAAAAGGGGAGGAGAAGCTTGAGGAATATGACCTAATTAAACATTGGTTTCACTTGAATCTTTCTAAGAAAGAAAACTTAAGATCAAACCTTTTCTTAATTTATGAAAGAATTAGTAAAAGAATTATTTTCAATATAGATTTCATAAATTCTGAAATTATTATTTTTTTAAAATCCAAAATTTGGGGAAATTTCAAGTAAGTCTGAATTAAATAGAAAATCAGTATTCCTAAAATTAATACTAAATGTTCTGATACCTTAATATCATCTACTTTATTAGAAATTCTTCTAAGTAGGACTATAACATTTCTAAAACAAATTTTTAGTTATCTAAAAAATAAACCCACTACCACAGGTTAACAATTTTAGTTTTTAAAGTTATAGTGTTACTTGAAGACAAGTAATATTTAAGTTTAAGGGTATTGACAGCTCAAAATTACATATTTTTAATGCACATTTTATACCCATTTTTTAGGATTATATGCTTTAATGAAAGGTATTTTTTGTACTTTTGGTTGCAGGTGCAAGAAAAAGAGCTTAAGAGCAAAAATGAGCAAAAATACATCAAAAAGAGCAAATTTAGCCACATCAAGTTTATTGCTAAAAACTGTCGAGCTAGCACCTAGGCGCCAGAAATAGTTACACTTATATTCATTGAATTTGGATGAATTTTGAAAAGGTGTCTAAAGCAACCCTTGGTGATTTTTGAAGCTCTATATATTGGGATTAATTATGGTTGAAATGGAGGAGTCTTGGAGTCATTTTGAGAAAGGGAGGATCCCATCTAGAGTGGGCGGCCACCATAGTAATTTTTCGCGAGTCTTCGTGATTTCTGGAGTTTTGTGAGACTTGTAAGAGTCTTGTGAGTCAGAGAAATCAGGAAACTTTGAATGAGTGCTTAAGAGAACATTTGAGATAGGTTTTTGTAGCTTTTCTTTTCTATGTTGGATTTAAGTTTTATAAAAAATGGTTTATTTATATATCTTCATATTCTGAGTAGTTTTCATCTTTCTCCTTGCAATAAGAAGTAATTATGTGGTGGATTTGATTTGTTTGGAACTTCTTTTTATTCCACAAATTTGTGATGATGTATTCACTGGTTTTTCATTTACTTTGCAAACCGGACATTTGTTTTGTTAAAATTTGTTAAGAAACTCACAAACCTTAGAGGGATAAGATTTCTTCAACTAGTGAGTACCACATTTCACTTCAGAAAGAGCCATGGAGATCGCCTGAGGGGGGCACAAATAAATAGGGAGATAAGAATTGATGAGCGTAAAATTGATGTTTCTAAGGTGACAGGCTAGATTTTTTTATCAATTTGGTCTGGAGATTATAACTAAGGGTGACTGGTATGTCCTATAAAGAGGGCACAATGGGCAATCTAGAAGTGAAAGGCTAGAACCTACCCACATTACTATACATGCCGACACCAACTTTAGATTAGTTAAAGTTCTTTATGATCGGAATAGGTAAAGAATAGGTATGCTCCTATTTGTCACAATACCACATATAATTTTTAAACAATCTAATCCTAAACTAATTATGATCCTATCATAAGGGGAAGGACATTTTAATTATTTAAGATCTTTCCAAGATTTAACAAGTCTCCTTATAGTTGGTTTTTATATAATTTTGTTAATTATAATTTTAGCCGAAATTAGTGAATTTAGAAAAACTAAACTTTTCAAAATTTTCAAACTAAGACCTAATAGTAGTATACCAGAATTAGCCTAAGGGATTTCTTACCTCGCTTCCCTGTGGGGTCGATATTGGGATTTTTAAAGAAAATCCTATATTACTTGAAACAATGTGTATACTTGCGTGATACCCCTAATGTGTAAACTATTAATAAAAAATTCTAAATTTTATAACAATCAATTTTGCACATTAGCCGTATAAATATAAATTGGGTCAAGTTTTTGTCCATTTCATGGAATTTAAATTACTACATAAATGTGGTTTAGGTCGCCATCTGCTTTGCATTTTTTTTTAGACTCATACTTGAGCGTTAAAATTTTCTGCTTCTCAAGTTGATCTTCATTATCTCCTCTGAATTTGGCCTTGAATCTGCAGGTGCCTCCTCTTGAGCTAGATGAATTGGCTCTTCTAGAGTTTTTTTAGAATTTGAGGGTTCGAGTTCAATTTTGATAGGTGGTCCCCAGAATTCGCAAAGGAGTACATCACTTTCGGAGCTATCGTAACCATCCTTGTTGGTACCCTCCTCCTTATCGCTATCACAGAGGTTTTGTACGATTGGAGAATTGTTATTAAAATTGAAATCAAGATCTGGATTAGATCAATTGTCATTAGATATGTTATTGCTGGAAACAGTCAAAACATAGCCAACATTAAATATATTCTTATTATAGTACCCCACAGGTGCAAACAAGGGTCAGACGTTCAAGGGATTTCTCCTCCAAATCAGAAACAACCATCCTAAGAAAAGTAGCCTCTAGCTACTCTTCGGGACTTCAGTCTTATTTTCCTTTGTGGTCTCCTCTGCCTACTTCCTCTAAAGCAGCTCTGCAACAATCGATAGTGTTGGCTTAGCATGTCTCAAACTCTGAACTGAAGCATACACGAAGCTTTCTGAATTTGATGTAGCATCTTCTTCGAGGATTTTGCCTATGTTGTACTCCATTCATCATCGAATACATATGGGTCAATTGTAACAATAGGATCAACCAAAATAAGATTAACAGAACCTCTTACAGGTTCTTTCATGTACTATTTTGGGTCAATTCTTGAAAGTGAAGCAACCCTCTATTGTATGCCCAAGCATCCTGTGAAAAGGGTAATACAAGAGATGATCCTTTTTGTCCACCTCCTTTGGCTTTTTGGGTTCTGGAAACTGGAAATCGGATCTCTTAATCAGGCTATAAAACATCTTACCAACTGCGTCATACTTAAAAGGATATACCTTTTTCAGGAGCCCAGACAAGGAGCATCTTCCCTCTATCTGATGATGCCTCTGTTGAGATGATTGTTGATCATGTTGTTGTGGCGGTTGGTAACTTGCAATCGCTCCATCTGAATCTGCATCGACTATTTGTGTTTGTCCACTACTACAATAGACCTGGATTTCTTCTCGAAGACTTTGAATGGTTTCTGTTTATCACTTTTCTCTAGAAAATTGAGCTGCTTAGCCTCTTGTTGAAGACTGTCGGTCTTGCTAAGCAATTTCTCAAAAGTCTTAATGTAAAACCCTGAGGACAAAATGCTATCGAGCCATGAATACATTTCAGCAGAATCCAATTTGCATGTTGTTCTAGGACATGCAGTTCACATTTCATACCTAAATTCCTCCATCATATAATATAGTCTACCAACGTCTCATTTGGTTGATGTTTCTAGACCACAAGATCACTGACGATGATGTGGTGTTGAGCCTCAGCAAACCTCTTGACAAATAAGTTTTCTAATTCTATGAAAGTTTTCATTGAACCATTTGGCAGCTCCGCATACCAATCAAAAGCAACTCCGGAGAGGTTGCTAACAAACTGGCAGAACAAGAAAGCTTCACTGCCCCCCCCACGTTGCAACAACTTGTGCAGAAGTGAGCAATATGATGTCGGGGGTTTCCTGTCCCATTGAAAGTCTTAAATAAAGGTGGTACAAAGCCATTAGGATATTGGACAAATCAAACTCTTTGGGATAAGGTCTACCCATCAGAATCAATGCCCCTCCTTTTGATTGGGCTAGGGCCTTTCGCACCTGTTGCTCTACTACAAGCTTAATATTCTTTTCTAGTATTATGCTTTGGACATAATCCTTCTTTAGTTGCTCTTCTCTATTGACGGAGGTGAATTCTTTTGTTCCATCCATGACCTGAACAACTTTCGCAAGTTGAACTCCGCTATTGGCTCAATAGGCTCAGGTGTCTTGGTTTTCAAAACGGCAACAGTAATGCTTCCAAACTTGATCTCAGTATTGTCAAACCCTTGTCCAAAACGGATGACTGCTCCATCGGGCAACTCGCTCTTGTTCATGGCCAAGTTCATCCCAATAGCAAGGGAGAAAAGTTACTTTGGCACAGACATTCTTCTGCAGGGAGGATTCAAAGAATGTCAGTCTCATCCTATGCTTCCATCTATTGTGGAAATTTCAGTTTGAAAAGAACTTATTCAGCAAATTGGGTGTTTATTTCGAAACATTGTTCGAATATATCTTCATTTATCTTATTTGAAGTTATTTATGTGGTAAAGTTTCCAAGTTTATCCGGCTTCATTTTATTTGTAATTATTAGAGAAAGGTATCGAGAGTGGAAAGCTGACATAATTAGTTGGCAACAAATTAGCCACGGGGGAGCAAGAAGGAAAAATAAATGACCCAATCCAAATCACCGATAAAGGGTTGACTTTGCACCATAGTCACTTCGACAGATTCGCTAAGCTGACACCTATTGGGGTTTACCCTATTTTTGGGAGGTGGGAGGATCCCAGAACCTCTTTGTCTTAGGGGTGTTGAAACAATGGCTCCAGAATCCAAGAGGAGTTGATTACACCTGCTCAAAACAAAAATTAGTCAGGTATGTCAACGGAAGAATGATAGCTTGGCCCACGAGGGACATGAACGTGCTATCGATTTATGAAAGCAAAACTATCAAATCATTGAATGAGAGAGGAATTACTCCCCAGCATAGTCGTCAGAAATTGTCGGTTACCAAATTGAGTTTGAAAATATACCCAGCATAGTTTACCAAATTAGAGTTTGAAAATATACCCAGCATAGTCGCCAGATAATGTCGGTTACCAAATAGGAGTTTGAAAATAATATATATATATATATATATATATTGTTTTGTGCTAAATATGAGCAATCCTATTCTTTACCCCCTTCCAGGTGCATAAAGAAGATTGACTAATCCAGAGTTTGGTCACTAATTATGTGGTAGGCTGGGAGGATATAGACTAGCACTCCAGAGTTCCCACTACTCCCTTATCTGAGGGCTAACAATATCGCATCAGTTTCCAATCAATTGGACCAAATTGGAGATTTTAATCTGTCACCATAAAATCTCTAATTCTGCATCCAAAAAAGTATATTTCTTTACCCTTCCAACTCCAGTTGTAGCTTCTCCGTTAGGGCCTGGCCGAGGAATGACAACATTCACCAAAGTGCCATATTTTCCACCCTCTCCCTTCATGTCATCCAAAATTTCTTCATATTCCTTATCGTCCTTCAATTCATCTGCACTAACCACCTGAGTTAAGCACACAACCTTGGTTGGACGGGATCCCACTTGTAACACAAGCCGCTGAATTGCTAACTGTTGTTGTGCCTGCAACAAAATATTTTCTTGCTCTGGTCTAGCCTGAGCAATTCCCTGGTTTGCACGTCGGACATTAAGTGTTCTATCACCCATCTTTATACCATTAAGAGTAGCACATGCAATGTCCGTGACAGAAAGATCTTGGTAGACACAAAAAGCGTAGCCCTTTGAAGTACCAGTTTCCCTGTCCTTAACCAAATCAAAACCTCGAAGGGCTCCAAATGATTCGAGCAACTCTCGCACCTGCGCTTCCGTGAAGTAGTATGGGAGTCCACCAACAAAAATACGATCTGGCTCCTCAAGGCCAGAAGCAGATCCCAACAACAGCTCAACAGCAGCAAGATTAAGATTTGGATTAGGCTGGCTTGAGCCGAGTGCAGCAGCCAAAGGAGCATTGTAATCACTCGGCCTTCGAACTTTTACTGGTGCCCCGTCAAATATGATGCCATCCAAAGCCATGGCATTATTTGCTTCCTCAACAGACCTCATTTCCATAAAAGCAAACTTTTTCTCATAGTTTATATAAACATTAACAACAGCATCACCAGGCCCTGCTGTGTTTCCGCCAATAGCAGACATTACTTGACTAAAAAAGCTTGCAACTGACTGTTCATTAGCAGTAGCAGAGAGACCACCAACGTAAACACGACGAGCATGCCGATTAGCCTGTTGTGTCATAGCTTGCACAGTCATCAATGGAATAGTTGGGAACTGAACCTGTCCGGCTCCCAAAGGAAACATATTGGGAAGCATTCCAGGAACAGCAGTCGTTGTCCCAGGTACCTGGCCTGGAACAGCCACATTGGGCGTCACGATCGGCGGGGGGAGGTGGCATGTCGAACAAACTGATTCGTTTACTCTTTGATGCTGAATGAGACTGAGACCTTGACCTATGCCTGTATCTGTCCCTTGATCGAGATCGGCAACTATGTTTGTGACGCCCTTCACTCTCACTATCATAAACCCTCTTTAACCTGGAACGAGACCGAGACCTTGATCTATGCCTGGATCTGTCATTAGACCTAGGTCGGGATCCATGGCTGTGACGCCGTTCACTCTCTCTTTCATAACCCCTACCATAATCTCGGCTGCGAAGGTTGCCATAATCATCAGCATCACGGCCATGATTTCTTTCATAATTATCGTAACCTTGCCTGTCGTGACGGCTATGGCGATGATGATCATGATCTTCAGATCTAGACCTGCTTAGATGATGATAATGATCTTCAAATCTTGACCTGCTTAGATGACGATCATGATCATCAACTCTATCCCATTCTTGTTCCTTTCTGTCGCTTCTATCCTTATGGTCTCCATAATGATGGTCACTTTCCCTGCCCCTCTCCATCTCCCCCGCCC